CTTCAGGTTTCTATCTCCTCCAATTACCCAAAATATTAGTGATCCTCATCTTTGTCTCACTGGAATACTTTTGGGTTAAAGCCACATAAATATTACACTGCTATTGTGTATGTTCAGATCTCTGTTAAAGTGGTAAACTCTTTAGCCACAGTCCCTTGAGTCAGATCCATTCATAGTGTGTATCTTTAGCTTTGGAAGGAAGCTCTGAGCATGCATCTTCCCCTCTGTTTATCTAGCTAATAATATGCTGCCAGGATACTTGAACAGCTTCATGGCTGGCATCCAGCCCTTCACCCAGGAAAGGATTTTGCCTTAGCTTTCACTGGGGAGAATTTGGATTTAGAATAGATGTAACACTATACCCTGAACACTCCTAGTTCAGTCTGGATGGAAGCTGACTTTCCCTTTCCCCGGTGGCTAATTAATGACTGAAAAGGTTAAAACAGATCTTAGGAGGTTCTTGACCACATTGCTTTACAAATGCTCAATCTCCTTAAATGTGGCGATACAAAACCCTTTTCTCTTCAAATGGTGAAAAGGAGGTAATCGGCAGCTGCCAGTGTACTTGCCTCTCACAATGAATTGCAACTAAATGCTCAGTTATGTGTAGATTCTTCATATGTTGCAACCTGTGAACTTTTGACAACTATACAGCATACAAGTATGTAAATGCTGAGTTTGAAACCAGACTAGTGACAATAGTTTTTCAACAATATTAGGCTGATGATGGGTTGACCTAACATCTACCTCAGGCAGTGAAGTAGTGTTATGACAGTGAAGTACAGAACATTAAAATACTGAACATAACATGTTGGTTAAGTGGTGATGGACTCTGAGCTCCATTTGAAAAAAGGAGGGAAATCTGCAACTCATTCCAAAATAGAGTTCAGAGCACTGATTGCTTTCCGAGGCTCCTTCAGCAGGTTCAGGTGAACTGGAGCTCCAGTCTTTCAGGTTAGCTCTCCATGTGGTGGTCAGTCATCTTAATGATGTACTACAGCCACCTCAAACAAGACCATGAGTGTAGTTGTGAATGAGAGTGCATCACCTGGTGAAAAGGAGTGAAAATAGAAAGCAATTTAGGTGAGAAGATACCTTTCCTTACTTTAAGTAAGGCCTATTTTGCCTATCCAGAAATGCAATCTGCCTTGCAATACAACCTTCCTGACCTTCCCCAAACATCTTGATCTGGAACGGGCGTGTGTTGCCAGAGTAGATTCTTTTCCTACTCTTAACACCTCAGTCCTTCATCTCAAGTTCCAGGCATGCTGCTGTTGTGTGCTGCACACCCAGCTCCCTGCTGGCTTCCCTGGGGTCCAAGGGTTATCACAGGTTAGTTGACTTGATCTTCCTAAAAGACAGTGAGTGACAGCCAGTTTTGCTCCATGCAGTTTGATAGTCTGGTCATGCCAACCACAACATGTCTGACTCTTGCCTTGACAATTCCTTTCTTGGTCTCCCACTTCCGAAAGAAATAAATATCTTCATAACAAGTTGCAGTAAAGAAATGGGGGAGATGGGGACTGGACACCAAATTAAAAGCAAAAAACCAGGCTTTTTGTCATCATTTACTCTCTAACAGTGTGTGATCAACTAAAAAGGATCCATTAGGACACATAATGTTTCACTAGTACTTTTTCATAGTTTTGTTTTCTTCTTAATCTTACAATGGTATTTAGAGTGGGGTTCTAATATATTGCTATGATAGAATGGCAAATGGACAAATAGGACTAAAGATTGTAGATAACAGTGTGGGGGTAAAAAATAAGAATCTCAAACTTTGTGGTGAAAGAATTGTTTTAGTGTTTCTTGGGCTGTGTACATCTTTGTGTAATCAAGAAAGTGGCCTTATTTAAGGTGTGAAGGATGAAAATGGAGTAAGACTGGCCAGATCTTTCCTTTTATGCTGTTAGTAACTCAACTTGTGCATGACAAGGTGCAGATAAGTGGGCAACATGTGAAAATCTTGGAGAATTTAGGGGTGCTAAGTGTCTTCACAGATTGAACTGGAACAGCGAGCATTGCCATACTCATAGCTGTAATAGTGATATTTAAAAAAAAAAACTTCATCAAAATAGCATTTTCTAAAGACTGCTGTGGTAAAGGTGTACACATTTAAAATGTGAAAATTTAACCAGTTATCAGTTAATGTACCCAAAACTGTAAAGGAGAAAGGGCAGAAGGTCACTTTAATTGCTACAAAAGATTATCAGATTTCTGTTTCTGTGAAGAATATTGCTGTGGACTAAAACATGGCCTCACCCCTGCATAAAATGTATCTGAGATTCAATAAACTGAAAATAGAGTGGTAGCTGGCTCTAACTTTAGTGCTACTGAAATGTGACAGGTATGCAATCTAGTATGTAGATGTTAGTGCTTATAAAACTCCTCTTTAAGCAAAAAACCCTGTCAACTTTTTTCAGATTTTATTGCATCATTGATATTTCTAATGTAGTCTTTCTGTAAAACATGATTTAAAGCAGCATTCCATTGTGGTAACGTTTGCCTAACTCCTGCTACTGCTTTCTGTCTTAGCACTTGAATTATTAGATTCTTGTGATACAGTAACTTAGATCTAGATGAGTGTTTAAAAAAAAAAATAAATATCTATTTCATTGAATTATGTGAGCCACTCTGAAAGTCAGTCTGCAGCTTTTTCTGTCATTGCCGTCATTTTCCCAGTGTAATAGGGTTCCTGCTAAAGGACTGAAGAGTTTGAAAGTAATTTAATTGCTGTGTAATAAGCGTTATCCTTCAGTGAGGTACTTCATTGAAGCTAGACAGTGAGTGTTCCGTGACAGAAGGAAAAGCTGGGGGGGATGGGAAGAGGAGGAAGCTACAAAATGACCACGGCTGGCCTCTCTGCATTCCAGTAAGGCTTGCTTTTTTAAAATTGGAAGCTGCTTTTATAGATGCTCCTCCAAACAGGTTTCTTTTTTTTCCATACTGTCCCGTTTAGACTCTGGAATGCATGTACGAAAGGGCAGGCCCCCAGAGTGACTTTCCAATCTGTTTTTGCGATTCCAGCCAAGTTGCCTTTAATGTATGGAGCAGGCGAAGTTGAGCTGACTCTTATAATATCACGGAACTCGGGCGCAGCTGCTGCTTTAAGTGGCACTGTGTGATAATACAACAGCTCTGCTATTTACTGGGACTCAAGTGCCTGGACTGGCACACAGAGACATTATATGAAATCCGAAAGCATGAGGATAAAGGAGATTTCTTTGCGGCAAGATCCTGATCTAAGAAAGGAGTTGGCGTTGCTAGCTCGAGGATGTGATTTTGTTTTACCTTCTAGATTCAAGAAGAGACTGAAAGCTTTTCAGCAGGTCCAGGTTAGTCTTTCTGTTCTTAAATGATTAAGTTATTGTCAGTTGTACCTTCGTGACCACGCAAACTGCAGAAAATACATGGAAGTTCTTCCTAAACTAGCAGGATTTCAACAGTCTGTTCCACGTATGATGATTTCTTCTGTGTTTTAGAAAACTGTGCAGGTAGTTTTGTTTACACAGGGGCATATGCAGTGGAAAGTTGGTGTGCTTAGCACTGTTAGACTTTTAAAGACTCTTTTCCTTAATCTGCATAATCATAATCTGCATGCATTTCCCCAGGGGTTTTAATTGGCCTTTTACTGAAACTGGGCATATAAAATACACTGAAATAGGCTGTAACTTTACTAACTCAAACATAATATGTTAAAAGACACTTTCGTTCTTGCATGATGATCCTGAAATCCTTTAGATAATGTTTATTTTGGACTCTGTATTTGAATGAGATCAGTTGTTGCTACGTGGTTCACATGTGTGCCTCTGTTCTGCAGCAGTGAGTTAAATCCACCATTTTAAAGTGAGCTCATAATTGAGAATAGAAGCATTTGAAACATATAATTAGAAGGAAAACTACTTATGGAGTAAATGTTCAAAGAGGTTATCTTTTGGGAGGGGGAAAAAGTATACAACTGTTTTATTGGAGAAACTGAAATTTGGTATTTCCTCAGACACATTTAACTTTTTAAAGCTTTTGGTGTTATGTGAAAGCATTCACCTTGTCCTTACTTCACCCTCACTTCTAGTTGATGTACTAAAGGTATATCAGTGATGGTATGTGTGACTTTTTTAACCTTTTTTAATTAAGGAAAATTTAGCAGTTGAGTAAAAATTATATAATGTTAGGATTTCTGGTTTTTAAAGTCATTCTAAATATAGCCTGATACTTAATTTTTAATTCCGTGCACTAGTGTCCCTTTCAGGTGACCTTCAAGAGAGAGCTGTAGAGCCCTATGCCCCTAAAAATGTGTTAGCCTTCTGTCTTCTACATTATTATTTCAAATTTGTTTCAGCACAGCAATATAAGCAATGTTTATTCCTTTGTGCAAACCAGAATGCAAGTGCTGACCCTGCTGGTTTATGCCATTCAGCATAAACTTGTGAATGAAAGGATTTTAAGACTTGTATTTTTTGTGCTGAACTGAAGACAGAGAAGGAAACTTGTTGACTAGAGGCAGCAGGAAAATAAAATACTGTCTTAATTACACCAAAGTAGCAGTACCAGTTAAAGTTTAGGCACCTCAGAGCATGAGGCAAGTTTAGTCTAGTCATGGCATCCTGTTGTAAACAAACACACTATTACCTTGTGTGGTGCCCCTGAACTTGATCTGTCTTTCATCGAATGATAGTTGGATCACTTGCACTTCTACAGGCCTTTTTTATGTTGAGCTAGAAAACATCTTGATGTAGTACAGTAATGCATACCTACAAGCAACTATGTACTTTAGAAAACAGCTTGTCTAATATATAGGGGCTTTTTCCTGTTTTTAGTGTGCTGACAGCTATAAACTTATAGTGCGGACAATGAACAAATATTTTTTATTTTTAACCAGACTTGCACTTCTTGAGTTAATGGCAACTGTAGACTAACGTATGTTAAACCGCTTAATTATATTACAGACAAAATTCTGTGAGCAAAACAGACTTAAAAGGAGTATAAAACTAAAACCTGACATCTGTCTGCTCAATTTGATATCAAGTATTTTATCCAAGGCTCCTTTTTTAAATGGTACTTCACTTCAACTTTGTGATTTTTAAGGAGACCTTTCTGAAAATACCTTAAACAAAATATGAATGCTGATAACTGGATACAGATGATGATAGACATTCTTTACCTGACACTTCATGTTAATTTCAACTTGTCCTCATAGGTTAGGTGCATTTCAAAGAAGAGCTGTTCATCAGCTACGTAATCATTGAAGAAATTTCATGTTGAAATAAAAGACTGCTTAGAGCTTTTGTAGAATGACTTGAAAATTTTTTCTCATTTCAGTTGCTAAGCTTTATTGCCATTAGAGTTTACAACCTCCTATACCATTGTGATATTGGCTTGGAGACAGAACATTTCATGAATATGATGTAAAATTAGAATGCTACAATCAAGCAGAAATGGAAGCCAACCTGTCTTTCTATACTTCTACTAATCTTCTAATTTTTCATGTCCATGCAGTCTCTATAACTTGTTAAACAAATGGAAGATTCTTCTTAAGATGTTTAGTGCTATTAAAGCCAACCTCTTAAAATAAAAATGGTATAATGTTGGTGGATGGTGAGATAACATACGTCTTGACATCTGCTCTGAGGTGGGTTGGAGTGACCGGGTCTTCCACAGGTTCTAGGAATACTAAGGCAGTGGCTTTTTGCATAGATCCATGTAAATCTGTGTTGGTGATCCCTTGTGTTTTGGAAGGGGCAGTCACGGGAGCGTAGCAAATCATGTTTTGTGAAAGTCTTTAAACAGACAACCAGTAGTGAGGTGGGTGGCTCTGGAAAGTGGTAGAACAGGCTGTTTTTCATTGGCCCCATTTACTGATGAAAATTGTCAAACCCAAGCAAAATAGGGCTTTCTGGAAAGATCGGTTTCTCAGAAGGAAGCTAAAACAATACAAAACTGCTGAGATGTTCTCTATTACTTTGGGGAGCTGAATTTTTGAATCGATAACTCTGCGTAAAGCTCAGCAGAACTTCAGTTTGTCTTCTCCTGACATTGGTTGTAAGAAAGACCTTTCTTAGGTAATTTAACACCTACAGAATATAGTGGACTGGAAATGTAGCACTTGAAGAGGCACTGTGTCCATCTTACTTATCAATTTCTCTGTAACTTTGGAGGGAGAAGAAACTATCACCATGTCAAATGTACTGTCAACTGAAAGATGTGAACTGAAAGGCTTATTACCTGCTGATAGCTGAGCAGAATGTTTTAGCCAACAGCTGGTGACATCCCTACCTGTCAGAGCTGGAATATAAGCAGCATCATTACCCAGGCTATGTGAGGAAAATATGTCTGAAGTTAGAAACAAAATGATAACAGGAGAGAATACATCTGTGTATAGTGACACACTTATACCTATGTAACTCAGTGTTAGCTAAACTAAGAAAATAGATATTTTTTGCTACTTAGAGGCCACACCATGTTGTAAAACAGGTGAGTTCTAACTTTGAAACTAGACTTCCTTAAAGTCAAGTCAATTTGTGCTGAATGTGATCATTTAAAAAAAAAAAAAGGGGGGGGGGGCAGGGAGAAAACTTAGCCTAAATCTTGAATTAACCCTCTGAATGTCAGTGCCAAAACTACGTACCAGTGTATCTTCTGATACTTGAACTGCATCATGCCTTTAGCTGCTTTTACTACTTGGTGATTCCTGTAGTTGCATGCATCACACCTCAGTGTGGAAATGGAGAACTGCTAGTTCCATGACCACCTGTTAATGATACTAAATGCTGCTTACACATGCTATTTATGTTGGCTGCATGAGAAATATTTCTTCAACTTCTGCAGTGCCTCACAAGATTGGCTTTCCTTCTGAGTGAAATAAGTTTAGACTTTAGTGCCTCTTGGTCACTGTTGCACTCTTCTGTTACCAAAATGCTTCATAAATGCTTGGGGCATGTTCAAGACCACAACAAATACAGAGCCTGTAGGTGCTAATGTGTGCTGGGCTGGTGTGTGTTTGTGCAGTAGCACACTGATTCTTTCAGTCATGAAGATAACTTCCACATTTGTGAGGTAAACTGAATTTTAAAAAGTTTAAGTGAGGCAGTTAGCCTTGCAACTATAGTCACAGAAGTATGTTGTGTAGCAATTAGAGGTCTCTGGCAGGCCAGCTTTCCTATTAGCATCAAGTTTCTAATTTAACATTATTTGGAGACCTTTTAACACCACAGAGGGAGGACCTGATATCCATTTTTATGTAATAGTTTTACATCAGACAAACAGGCTTTTTTTTAAAGAACAAAACCCAAGTGTTTGCTGGGGGGGTGGAGAATAGAAGTCTCATTCCAGCTGTAGCTAATAGTTATCCTTGATGCTAGTTTGCTGATATAATGCAGATTTTCTGGAGCAGATGTCAACATTTAAGATAGATGGGAAATATCTAAGCTGCCTGCTGGGACTTGCTAGTTAAGATGAGAGGTGTTCCATAAATGGCCCCTTGTTAGTGGATTGCCAGGTCTTAAGCTCTATCCTCTTAAAGCAAGCTGTAAGCAAACCGGTAGGTTTTTTTACCAGTTTCTGCAATGGAGACTCCTGTGGTAGTAACTTCTTTACCTGCTTGTGTCTGGTAATAAGTTTATGCAAGTGTTTCTGTAGAAAAGCCAATATGGTGCAAGTTTGTTATAGCTTTCCTTACTTGCATGCATTGTTTAAGAGTCTAGATGTCAGTTCCTTCTGCAGCTGTTTTTTCACCCAACAGTTCAGACATTGAAGAGTTAAAACTTATTTATTTTTCCCTTGGAATAAAAGTTTCGCTAGCCTTTTCTCCATTTTAACATACTTCCCATACCTTTATAATCACTAATGCTACTAATAGCAGATGTTCTATGACTGCTGATGGAGTACATTGTGTGCTAGAAAGCCTGAAACAGTTTGGCACATCTTTGTATAAAATATCCTTCAACTTTTACAAGATCAGAGGGGTATGAGATTGTTTCTGCAATTGTCCAAATCAGAATTTGTTGGGATGCTGCCAGACAAGAAGTTAACAAATACTTGCTCCACCTGTTCACTCTGCAGCTCAGTAACAAGGCTGAGATTGTTGATATTTTTCTTGTTCGAGTGAATTTTTCCTCAGCTCAACTGCACTGAGTGATTGAAACTTGTTTTGTTGTAAACATGGAAGGATGAGAAGCTATTGCAGAGTTTAAGAATTAAGTGGATGTCTGTCTTAGCCCTATTTGTTACTTTTGATGTTTTGAACTGATAGCTGTCCTGACAAGGGCTATTTTCTGTAGACAAATGTTAGAATTGCCTCAGGTGTAGCTGACTGTCAGTTTTTCACCATTAAAATGAT